AGAGGGAGTGAGAGGACTTCCTTCTACTCTACTCTAGGGTTCAGGCTCCCTCCCTTTTTTTCTTGATGAGTCTGGCTAATGATTTATCAATTTTGTTTATTGTCTCAAAGAACCAGCTTTTAGTTTTATTGATCTTTGCTATCGTTTTCATAATTTCTTTTTCATTTATTTCTGATCTGATCTTTTTGATTTCTTTCCTTCTGCTAACGTTGGTGTTTTTTTGTTCTTCTTTCTCTAATTGCTTTATGTGGAAGGTTAGGTTGTTAATCTGAGATGTTTCTTGTTTCTTAAGGTAGGATTGTATTGCTATAAACTTCCCTCTTAGAACAGCTTTTGCTGCATCCCATAGTTTTTGGGCCAACCTGTTTTCATTGTCATTTGTTTCTAGGTATTTTTTGATTTCCCCTTTGATTTCTTCAGTGATCTCTTGGTTATTAAGTAGTGTGTTGTTTAGCCTCTATGTGTTTGTATTTTTTATAGATTTTTTCCTGTAATTGATATCTAGTCTCATAGCGTTGTGGTCGGAAAAGATACTTGATATGATTTCAGTATTCTTAAATTTACCATGGCTTGATTTGTGACCCAAGATATGATCTATCCTGGAGAATGTTCCATGAGCACTTGAGAAGAATGTATTCTGTTGTTTTTGGATGGATTGTCCTATAAATATCAATTAAGTCCATCTTGTTTAATGTATCACTTAAAGCTTGTGTTCCCTTATTTGTTTTCATTTTGGATGATCTGTCCATTGGTAAAAGTGGGGTGTTAAAGTCCCCTACTATGATTGTGTTAATGTTGATTTCCCCTTTTATGGCTGTTAGTATTGGCCTTATGTATTGGGGTGCTCCTATGTTGGGTTCATAAATATTTTCAATTGTTATATCTTCTTGGATTTATCCCTTAATCATTATGTAGTGTCCTTCTCTGTCTCTTGTAATACTCTTTGTTTTCAAGGCTATTTTGTAGATATGAGAATTGCTACTCCAACTTTCTTATTTACATTTGCATGAAATATATTTTTCCATCCCCTCACTTTCAGTATGTATGTGTTCCTAAGTCTGAAGTGAGTCTCTTCTAGACAGCATATATATGGGTGTTGTTTTCGTATCCATTCAGCTAGTCTGTGTCTTTTGGTTGGAGCATTTAATCCATCTACATTAAGGTAATTATCGATATGTATGTTCCTATTCCCATTTTCTTAATTGTTTTGGGTTTGTTATTGTACGTCTTTTCCTTCTCTTTTGTTTCCTGCCTAGAGAAGTTCCTTTAGCATTTGTTGTAAAGCTGGTTTGGTGGTCCTGAGTTTTCTTAGCTTTTGCTTGTCTGTAAAGGTTTTAATTTCTCCATCAAATCTGAATGAAGGCTTCCCTGGTTGCGCAGTGGTTGGGAGTCCGCCTGCCGATGCAGGGGACACGGGTTCATGCCCCGGTCTGGGAAGATCCCACATGCCGCAGAGCGGCTGGGCCCATGAGCCATGGCCACTGAGCCTGCATGTCCAGAGCCTGTGCTCTGCAACAGGAGAGGCCACAACAGTGAGAGGCCCGCGTACCACAACAACAACAACAAAATCTGAATGAGATCCTTGCTGGGTAGAGTAATCTTGGTTGTAGGTTTTTCTCCTTCATCACTTTAAATATGTCCTTCTACTCCCTCTGGCTTGCAGAGTTTCTGCTGAAAGATCAGCTGTTAACCTTATGGGGATTCCCTTTTGTGTTATTTGTTGTTATTCCCTTGCTGCCTTCAATACTTTTTCTTTGTATTTAATTTTTTGATAGTTTGATTAATATGTGTCTTGGCATATTTCTCCTTGGACTTATCCTATATGGGTCTCTCTGTGCTTCCTGGACTTGATTACCTATTTCCTTTCCCATATTAGGGAAGTTTTCAACTATAATCTCTTCAAATATTTTCTCAGTCCCTTTCTTTTTCTCTTCTTCTTCTGGGACCCCTATAATTCAAATGTTGGTGCGTTTAATATTGTCCCAGAGGTCTCTGAGACTGTCTTCAACCTTTTCATTATTTTTTTCTTTATTCTGCTCTGTAGTAATTTCCACTATTTTATGTTCCAGGTCACTTATCCGTTTTTCTACCTTAGTTATTCTGCTAATGATCCCTTCTAGAGAATTTTTAATTTCATGTATTGTGTTCTTCATCACTGTTTGTTTGCTCTTTCATTCTTCTAGGTCCTTGTTAAACATTTCTTGTATTTTCTCCATTCTATTTCCAAGATTTTGGATCATCTTCACTATCATTATTCTGAATTCTTTTTCAGGTAGACTGCCTATTTCCTCTTCATTTGTTAGGTCTGGTGGGTTTTTACCTTGCTCCTTCATCTGCTGTGTGTTTCTCTGTCTTCTCATTTTGCTTAACTTACTGTGCTTGGGGTCTCCTTTTCGCAGGCTGCAGGTTCGTAGTTCCTGTTGTTTTTGGTGTCTGTCCCCAGTGGCTAAGGTTGGTTCAGTGGGTTGTGTAGGCTTCCAGGTGGAGGGGACTAGTGCCTGTGTTCCGGTGGATGAGGCTGGATCTTGTCTTTCTGGTAGGCAGGTCCACATCTGGTGGTGTGTTTTGGGGTGTCTGTGGACTTATTATGATTTTAGGCAGCCTCTCTGCTAATGGGTGGGGTTGTGTTCCTGTCTTGCTAGTCGTTTGGCATAGGCTGTCCAGCACTGTAACTTGCTGGTCGTTGAGTGGAGCTGGGTCTCAGTATTGAGAAGGAGATCTCTGGGAGATTTTCGCCCTTTGATATTATGTGGAGCTAGGAGGTCTCTTGTGGACCAGTGTCCTGAACTTGGCTCTCCCACCTCAGAGGCACAGCCCTTATGTCTGGCTGGAGCACCAAGAGCCTGTCATCCGCACGGCTCAGAATAAAAGAGAGGAAAAAAAAGAAACAAAGAAGATAAAATAAAATAATTAAATAAGTAATAATTATTAAAAAAAAATTTTAAGTAATAAAAAGAAAGAAAGAAGAGAGCAACAAACCAAAAACGATATCTACCATGATAACAAGTGCTGAAAACTAAAAAACAAAAAAATGGACAGACAGCACCCTAGGACAAATGGTAAAAGTAAAGCTATAGAGACAAAATCACACACAGAAGTATACAAATACACACTCACAAAAAGAGAAACAGGGCAAAATATATATATATCGTTGCTCCTGAAGTCAACATCCTCAGTTTGGGATGATTCTTTGTCTATTCAGGTATTCCACAGATGCAGGGTACATCAAGTTGACTGTGGAGATTTAATCCTCTGCTCCTGAGGCTGCTGGGAGAGATTTCCCTTTCTCTTCTTTGTTTGCACAGCTCCTGGGGTTCAGCTTTGGATTTGGCCTCGCCTCTGCATGTAGGTCACTGAGGGCATCTGTTCTTTGCTCAGACAGGACGGGATTAAAGGAGCAGCTTATTTGGGGGCTCTGGCTCACTCAGGCCTGGGGGAGTGAGGGGTACGGATTTCGGGGCAAGCCCGCAGTGGCAGAGGCTGGTGTGACGTTGCACCAGCCTGAGGTGCACTGTGTGTTCTGCCGGGGACGTTGTCCCTGGATCACGGGACCCTGGCAGTGGCAGGCTGCACAGGCTCTTCGGAAGGGAGGTGTGGATAGTGACCTGTGCTTGCACACAGGCTCCTTGGTGGCTTCAGCAGCATCCTTAGTGTCTCATGCTCATCTCTGGGGTCCACGCTGATATCCACAGCTTGCGCCCTTCTCTGGAGCTCCTTTAAGCCACACTCTTAATCCCCTCTCCTCGCGCACCAGGAAACAAAGAGGCAAGAAAAAGTCTCTTGCCTCTTAGGCAGTTCCAGACTTTTTCCTGGACTCGCTCCCAGCTAGCTGTGGCGCACTAGCCCCCTTCAGGCTGTGTTCACGCAGCCAACCCCATTCCTCTCCCTGGGATCCGATGGAAGCCCGAGCCTCAGCTCCCAGCCCTCACCTGTCCCGGCAGATGAGCAGACAAGCCTCTTGGGCTGGTGAGTGCTGGTCGGCACTGATCCTCCATGCAGGAATCTCTCTGCTTTGCCCTCCGCACCCGTTACTGTGCTCTCTTCCGTGGCTCCGAAGCTTCCCCGCTCTGCCACCCGCAGTCTCCGCCCGCAAAGGGGCTTCTAGTGTGTGGAAATCTTTCCTCCTTCACAGCTCCCTCCCACTGGTGCAGGTTCTGTCCCTATTCTTTTGTCTCTGTTTTTTCTTTTTTCTTTTGCCCTACCCAGGTATGTGGGGAGTTTGCCTTTTAGGACGTCTGAGGTCTTCTGCCAGAGTTCAGTAGGTATTCTGTAGGAGTTGTTCCTTATGTAGATGTATTTCTGATGTATTTGTGGGGAGGAAGGTGGTCTCCATGTCTTACTCTTCCGCCATCTTGAAGCTCCCTTTCTTTCTATGTTTGTGTTCAACTTTACTTTCTCTTTTTCTCACTGTCTTATAATTTATTTGTTTATATTCCTGGCTCCCCTAATAGATGATGTGAACCTAGAGGGCAACATCTCTGTTTTGTGTAGGTTTTCAATAAAAGGTTACTGAATCAGTGTTATTGGACATGCAGTGGTTTTTCATTTAGTTCATTTTTCATGAGCCTTGTGGGTATAATGTTTATAATCATAATGAAGGTGGCTGATAAAGCCTTTTTCAAAAATCTGCTCTTATGTGCACAAACTTTTTCTTCTTAGGCTCAGAGTTTCTGGGGAAAAAGATGTTTTACAGTCACGTACCTAAGAAAGCAAATGACATTGACCTTTCTGCCTTTCCAAAAATACCACCGATCATTTTTCAGCAGTTACCAAAGCCTTTGGCTATATTTTGGTTAAACTAGCATATTTATACTATTTTGATACTGTACACTTAACAGAAGCCTGAAGCAACTTGTACTGAAATACTCCCATTTTGATTACATTAATGTCATTAAGAGGAGAAACCCCAAGAGGTTTCTGATCACTTACTTGCCAAATAAATACACTGGAGAATTCCACTGTCTTTTTCAATATTATATTTTATAAACCTTGTTTTGCAGGCACCTGTGTTGTGATAGTTCACAAACTCAGATGGAGTGGATGGCCAATGTCTTTATCGCCCAGGTATTGTATCTGTTTCAACTAGCCAGTAAAGTATAACAACTGTTTATAGCAAATGTTAATAGGGTAGTAGTTTTCAAAGAATTTTTAATGAGAGTTTTATGTGTATACTTTTATTTTCTCATTCATGTTTTTTTAAATATATGAGAACCCAGATTTACCCATTACTCTTTGAAAGAGAGTCTACTCTTTGTTGCATCTTTTTTTTTTTGCCAGCCCAGCAGCTCCTCAGCTTGGGGAGATGCTTCAAGACAGTGGTGTAAGAAATGGACTTGTCTAAGCTGTGGTCCTCCCAGAGTCCCACATTAATCTTTGTTTAGAAAATGTGCTCTTTTCCTTCTTGTTCTCCCCACAGCTTCCTGCTTTTTCCAGAAACAAGGACAGGAACGTACATTTCTTTAAATACATGTGTGCTAGATACTTCAAAAGAGTTAACTCATGTATTCCTTGCAACAAATTGCATGGCACTGCTTATAGATGAGGGAACAAAGGTTACCAAAGGCTCCATGATTTGCTTAGGACCATACATTTAGTTAGTGGTTTAACACAGAGGCACCAGAGGCCAACGTCTATACTCAATTCCCCAATTAGTCTCCTCCCTATTGGAGGACTCACTCTTTCAGTGAAGGGTTAAATAGACCCATTAATAGGACTGGTTTCTTCCCCAACCTTGTCTGGCCAAATTCCCAGCAACACTTCCCCACAAGAGCATTGAAATTCACTGGTAACAATTAAGTTGCCACTCTTTATTACTGAGGATGTGCTTCCCTGTTTCTCTTACAAGTGAGAAGTTAATTCACCCCCAAATCTTGTCCTTATTTGTTTTGAAAACCATTTTCTCTGTTCATGTAACTTATTAACCTTCCCAGTGGTTAATAAACACTGCTTTTCTCAGCCCGATTCTACTATTACTACCTGGGAATGCATTTTCAGAAAAAGACCAGTGGCTAACATTTTAGAGACTTTGCTTCTTTTTTGTGACTGTTTAAAAATCCAGATATTCAAGTCCTACTGTAAAGAGTAGGCTTGAAGTATTAGTAAAATTGGAACTATAGAGTCTAAAACTGTTACAGTGTCTGGTTATGGCACAACTAAATTGTTTTCATTTTTATAACTGAAGTCAGTAGACTCTAGTTGAAAATCAAGGTGTAAATAGCCAGGAAGCAGAGGTTGCTCTTACCACGAAGTTATTTCTCCCTGACTCACCTGTCCCTCATTGTGTTGGCCCCAGAGACTCAGCCCAATTACATTTCTTAAGTTCATTCCACTTCTTAGGATTAAGGTAAACACTGAGGTCCTTTTGGATTTGAGGATTTAATGGTTCACCTCCATAGGGAAAGAGACAGGAAAATAGCAAACATTAATATATACGTTAATACACACACACACACACACACACAATCCAACAGTGAGTGCCCCTTACAATGCATTCTTTCTGGTGCCCTGAATACTTTTCTAATATCCATCCCCATCCTTACCCCTGCCTCAAAAGTCTTCGGCTTACATGTCACATTCTCAGAGAAACCTTCCCTGACCTTCAGACCAATTAGACCTTCAGGCTATAGGAGCCCTTAGCCTTCTTTACTTCAACACTGTCATACTAATTAAAAAGCATTTGTGTCTTTAGGTTTATGTCTGTTTTTCCTACTAAAATGTAAACTCCATGATAGGAAGGACCTTGTCAGTCTTATTAGAACTAATTATATATCTGCATCACAGAACCCAATACATCTTACAAAGTACATGCTCAATTAGTATTTCTAAAATATTATAGAGGATAATCTGATAAAATTTCAAATAGATATTAGTGTGATAAAACAATAAATAAAATAAGCTAGGGAAAGGAAAGCCAGTGTGACTGATATAAGGAGGACATTAATTGAGAAAGATTCTCAGGGAATACCTTTCTGAGTATCTGAAAGGTGTGCTGAGACCTGTCTGAAATGAGGGAGCCATGTATGCAGGACAGGCAGAGCATTCCAGGGCAGGGTTAGGGGTCAGCAAGGTCCTGACATGTTATAATCTTGACTTATTCCATGACTATCATGAAGGCCTATCTGAGACAGGATGTAAGAGATAAGGAAGGCAGGGGACAGATGATGTAGTCCCAGTTTAGGAGTTTCAGTGGGAAACAAGGGAAAGATATAATCAGCTTATATTACTGGAAAATAATAATTTTGGTTCCTTTGTTGAACTGCACTGTAGCAGGTCAAAGATGGAAGCAGGAAGAACAGCTCTGTGGAAGAAGATGGCAGCTCAGACTAGGGTGGTAACAGTGGGTCTGGTAAGACATTCAGATCGAGGAGTATTTGAAGGTAGAGGCAGTAAAGCTTACAGATTGATCAGCTATAGCAGTTTGAGGAGTAGAAATCAAGGAAGAGTCCGAGTTGTTTGTTTGGCCTTGGGCAGCTGAAGAATGTAGGTGACATTATCAGAGATGCAGAAGAAAATTGAGAGTTCTGTTTTGGCCACATGAAATTTGAGATGCCTGTTAGACATACAAGGGGATATGATGAGTAGCAGTTTAGGTGTATAGATCAAAAACTCAGGCAAAAGTTTGGGGCCGAAATGTAAATTTTGTGGAAGTCAGCATTTGGATTGTGTTGAAAGGCCATTGGAGGATAGGGTGAGACGAGAGAGAGACTGTATGAATGAGAGAAAATTAGAACACAAAATTGGAGAGGGGAGGCTATAGGGAAAGACAGAGAAAGAGAAGACAGACAAATAAGCCCTAGGACATTCCAAACGTTAAAGGTCAAACAGAAGCGAAAAATTGAGCAAAAGAAATAAGAAGCTTGGAGGAAGGAGGAAAACCAGGTGATACATGTAGAGAATTCTATCAAGGAATTAGAGGATAGAATATTAAACCAGCAGAGGCCCTGAGCCAACAGGAAGCAATGTGAGCAAGTGCATGTGTTCAGCATTGTGAAAAAAAATCATTGTACAACAGAGTGTGGGGCACATTTGTTCTCATATTATTGACTATATATTCTGGCCCACTGAGTGATTATAGATATGACTGGGGCAGAGTTATTTATAATCAGAGTAAATACTTACTGGAAGAGAAGGGAGCCTTGTTTATATGGCTATAGATGCAGAGAGACTGGTACATTTCGTGGTGGGAAAATGAAATTATTGGATGATTACTAATAATTTTTCAATTAAATCAGTGAGGTCACCACATGTGAGTCAGGGGTGGATATTAGAAGTGTAGGGGCAGAATAAAAGATGAGATAATACCTTCAGAGGGTGAGGGAGCCAGTTGTACTATACTAGAATATGAAGGGAAGGCTAAGTGCTCACTTGAAATTTAAGGGTAAATTTAAAGTGAGATGCATCTCCAGATTGATTTTCTATTTTTTATTTCCCCTCCATCAATTTGGAGGCACCCATGGAGTAAGTATAATTGGGTTTAACTAGGCTTGGGGCTTTGCCAGGCAAGTGTGATCAAAGGAGAAGCAACACAGGACTTGATCTTATTTATAAGGAGGTGAGTATACTGATTGACCATGAAATCTAAGCCATACTGTGAAGGAAGTGGGAAAAAATGTGAAAAGTAGAATGGTGGTGGAGAATGGACTGAAGGTCTCAAGGAGTCTAAAGAATATTTAGGGTTAATGAAACTAAACTAGGTTACCTGGAAAGATGTCAAGGTCAGAAAGTGAGAGGCAGAACCATGTTTACTGCAGGATTATTCACCATAGGCAGGGTATGGAAACAACCTTAAGTGTCTATCGATGGATGAATGGATAAAGAAGATGTGTGTAGTGTGTGTGTATATACACACACATACATATATACAAACATGTATACAATGGAATATTGTTCAGCCCTAAAAAAGGAAATCTGTCATTTGGGACAACATGGATGAACCTGGAGGGCATTTTGCTAAGTGAATTAAGCCAGACAAAGACAATTACTGCATGGTATCCCATATAAAAATCAAACTCATAGAAACAGAATGGAACAGTTGGTTGCCAGGGGCTGTGGGGGAAATAGTGAGAGGTTGGTAAAAGGGTACATACTTTCAGATATAAGATGAATAAGGTCTGAGGATCTAATAGATGACATGGTGACTATAGTTCATAACACTGTATTATATAATTTAAATTTGCTAAGAGAGTAGAACTTAAATGTTCTCACCAAAAGAAACCCAGAAAGGTTAAATATGTGAGATGACAGATATGCTGATTAACTCGATGGGGGGAATCCTTTCACAACGTATGCATGTATTAAATCATCACGTTGTACAGTTTAAATATCTTACAGTTTTGTCAACTATACCTCAGTAAAGCTGTGGGGAAAAAATTTGAAAAAGTGGGATGCAGAAATGAAGATTTGGGGATGTGATCACTGGTTATAATAATGAGAGTATGATCCTCAGCTATATGCTCCATGCAGTATGACTTTTGAAGTCACTTATACATAACTATAAAGGTTATCAGAACATATTACTTAGATCTAAAGATTTCTGTTATTGGGAAAAATACCTCTTGGATCAATCCAGTGAGAACTAATTAGCTGGTATTCACAGCATTGTATATCATGTCAGAAAAAAAGAAATGTGTTTGAGAACTACATTTGCTCTTAGATTCCTCAAAATACCGTTTAACACATATATTATACATCAGTGAGTAAAAGTGTAGGCATAATTCATAGTATTACCTAATTCCTTCCCAGCCAGTATTCTCCCAGCTTTACATGTTGGGAACATCCCAATTATGTAATATCAAAGTTTTTTTTACCAAGTTTAAGACCATGACATAAAAATAATAATATGAAGCTTGTAACTTTCTCTCTGATTGAAATATTGTATAATTTACCATTGTAGATTTGCTGAACCAAAGTAAGCACTTCACTGAAATCCAAGGGTAGATCTGATGCCTATGCACTAAATCTAGTAATAATAGGACCTACACTGTAGGATCATTGAGGATTAAATGAGATAATACCTGTATATTGATAAGCACAAAGTCAAGCAGTCTGCCCCTCAGTATAACTTAGCTGCTAAAGTGAGTATATAGTCAACATTTGTTGAAATTAGTTCTTTGCTATAAAACACGACGTTAAACTACTAATTGCAACATAAGAATAAGAATCTGTTCATTCTTAAGAGTAGAGGAAAAAAATGAGTAGGCAGTTAGCTATATAGTTTACCAAATGGTTTTCATTTCATCATAACATCTGTAAACGTCTCATTGTGTGTAGTTGGTATTCTGTATTTCTTTCACAGGTTGTTGTCTGAAAATCAATTTGTTTTTCCCAACTTCTGAAAAGTTAATCTACCCTGAAGAATAGAAAAATTCTTTAAAGATTTTTCTTTTATATGCATGTCTTAAGGATTTATCATCCAAGAGCTTATATTTTTAACCTATGGATATTTCTCCCCTTTGCAAAATTACCTTTTCTCCAGTCATATCTATAATTGCTCAGTGCCCAGAATATGTAGTCAATAGTTTGAGAACAAATGTGTGCCACTCTCTGTTGTACAATGATTTTCAGTATAAATGTCTGTGTACAAGGTAACGTTTCTTTGGAATTCAATTAGATGAAAATAACATTTTTCAAAAAGTCATAAAATAAAGATAATTTTTCCAATAGCCATGCCTTAGGTTGATTTGGTGTATATATAATGTCAAATTATTTTGACACTAAAGTTATCTTTGGTGGTAAGGGAAAATGAATGTACAGTTGCTTTGATTACAGGGCCTAAAAATGTAGACACGTATATTAATTTTCTTCCACAAAGAGATTTGCCGGTTTCCTTAAATATTTTGCCCCTTTTGGTTGGATAAGTAGTACAGAAGGCATGTATTTGAAGTTTAGAAATTGAACTGAGACCTCAAAGCTCAGTTCACTTAAGAGTTTTACATCCTCAAGCGGTGCCGCCATCAGAGTGAATATCATAATTACAAACAGCCTTCTCATGGAAAGCAGATCATCTGACTTGGATATATGAGCCAAGTGACTATATAATTTGGTGTACCACATAATAAAATCACACACCCACAGCAAGAAATTTTGTTTCCACAGCATGAAAGTGATATATGGCCACCAGCTGGAAAGGAACGAAAACGTTCTATAACCAAAACTCCCAAAATTGGAGGTTTGCCTCTAATTCCCATCCAGCATGAGAAAAATGCAACCCAAGCCTGGAGAGATATTGAGGTAAGGTTAGGATTTTATTTGTTTTTATATTAATCATAGCATTTGTCTTCTTATGTCTTAATGTGATTAAATACATTAATTACTTCATTGGTTTCAAAAGCACAGTAATAAGCACTTTGAAAAGCACAGTAAAAATAACATCCATCAAGAAAACTTTATGAATAACCCTATGCCACTCTCTGAAGTTTTATATTTTATTAACGTCTCTTAAATGATCAATTTTAATAATGTCATTGACCACTCAATTAAATATGTACAATACCACTTTTTGTTTTTATTCCTAAAGTGGCCAAGAATGTTAAATATGTATATAGAAGTTCTGGTGATAAAAATCACAGTCTCAAATTAGCCTTACAAGTTCACTTCTAACCTCCTTAGAATGAGCCCATGGCAGAATGTCTGGAGCCATGGTAATTAGACTTTCCAGTAACACAATCAAATTTCAGAGGCTGGGAACCAATGGGGTGTCTCAGTTAATATAAGGAACTGCAAGATGACCCCTGAGCATCAATAAAGAAGATTTGGCATCTTTCATGAAAACTGTGTGCTTTCCTTCTCACCTTGAAGGGCAGGGTGACCATAAGTAGCATCAGTCTTGATTCAGGAAAAAGACATAGGCTGTTTGCGCTCAAAACTCATTAGACAATTTGCAACTAATGTGCATTTCAAGGCCTTAAATGAGTCCCTCAAAGCAAAAAGAAAAGCATGTAAAAGATACTGTTATTTCTTCTTGGAGCCTAGGTTTGGCCATTAAGCTGTGTGAGTTCCTTGCTTTCCAAACAGGAATAACTTTTTTTTTTTTAAATTTTACTGGAGTATAGCTGATTTACAACGTTGTGTTAGTTTCAGGTGTAACAGGAATAACTTTTGAAAGACAAAAGCCATTTTAATTTAGTGATCAGATTTTTTAAAAATGTTTTTCCATGACTGTCTTTCCTTGAACATTTATCTCACTGTAATATGCTTCTTCTCCAGAAGATAAAAGCTTTGAAATAATGGTTTATTCCCTTTGTTGCCTGTTCAGTCCTTATGCGCTGCTGTGATCAAAAGGAGGAATAAGACAGTAAGAACTCAGGAGCTTGTCCCTCCTGCCATTCTGCGCTTACAGGTTTTTCTTCCTAATAAACTGCTTTGCAGAACTATGGATTCCTCAGCTAATCTGGAATCTTAAAATTTTAAGAGTCATGTTTCCCAAGAACCCAGATTAGGGAACACAGAAACATAGGGAGTAGATATGTCCTACTGTGACTCCAGCTTCTCCTGACAGTGCCTCAGGATTGATTATGGAGCAAAGCAAAAAATAAATTATTAGGATCAAAATACATTAACCAGTATCCAGTACAGAACTGAGGTGATGATTGAATATATAATAATTTCTTACTTAATCCCAAATCCAGAATTTCAGAGACAATTATTTTTTAGCATACTTGAGACCAGAAAACTGTACAAAAACTGTAACAAAATCGTTAAAGGCTTCAAAAGCAATTTTGTGAAATATTAATTGCTAGAAAATGTGTTAGTAAACTAAACCAAGCTTTTTTGTAAATTTAGTAAATGTGGTAATTCAACAAATTTTAAAATTTAATTCTTAAAAAGAAGACAAAATTAGAATTGCAAGTTTTCATATGAACCAATAAAATATTTGTTATTGAATTAGATTTATGTAAATACATAAGAAAATATATTAATAAAATGACAAAGTATTACTAAGAGTAGATTCATAAGAAAAAAATATAGTAATATCGGGCTTCCCTGGTGGCGCAGTGGTTGAGAGTCCGCCTGCCAATTCAGGGGACATGGGTTTGTGCCCCGGTCCAGGAGGATCCCACATGCCACAGAGCGGCTGGGCCCGTGAGCCATGGCCGCTGAGCCTGCGTGTCAGGAGCCTGTGCTCCACAACGGGAGAGGCCACAACAGTGAGAGGCCCATGTACCACAAAAAAAAAAAAAAAAAAATATATATATATATATATATATATAAACATATATATTCAAGAAGCGTTGCTTTTCAAACAAATTGTTGACAGATTGGTGAATTTGGTGACTTTCCATTCCATGAGCTGTCTTGCTTTCATGAGGTTCAGTAGAAACTTGTATGAGAATACCTCCTCCAGGCAGGGAAGGCTTCCTGGAGGAAGTGACTTCCAAAATTTATTGAGTAAATTAGTAGTGAGCTAGTGAATAAGCCAGAGGAAGTAAGTTGTTGACAAAGGAAATCATACATGAAGAGGCAAATAGTGCATAAGAATGTACAAGCTAGATGCTACCTACGGCCCTCCTACTTCCTCTTAGGTACCTACTTCATCGTGTTCATTGTGCTCAGCTTTTATCTGTAAGCTCCTAGGGATAATAAAAGCCCTTACTTCATAGGGGGGGTGTTCTCTCTGCTGGGAGACACACTCCATTTCAGATCCTCATTTCCATTTAAACAAACAGTTTTCTCTAAATGCCCTCTGACACAAACTGGCATCGTCTGGACCAGCCTACCTTTTACTCTCCTAATTTCATACCTTATCAGTCTTTCTTTTTAAATTATTAAGACCTTAGGGATAGCGCAGCACATAAATGATGCCCTTCTTTCCACAGTACTGATGGCTTGGCTTTCTTTCCCCACAACATGCAAAGGCACTCCACACACCATATTGTTCACGCAAAGCACTCACTACCATCTCTTGATTTCTACCAGTTCACTTCATCATGCCTCCCCACCTTTGTATAAGGTTATGTCATTTAGGCTAATATCATAGTTTTACTTGAAATTTCAGCATTACATGTATGAATATTTGGCCTCTAAATTCTGCATCTAAGAGCATCCCAAAGTCTTTCTGCTGATAACTGAAAAGTAATGAGAACTGTATAATATATAAAACCACTCTATATTGATCCTTGATTTTCCGTAATAGATGTCATGTGAAACTTTTTAGTAAGATTCATATTTATAAACTCCCAGTCACATTCCTATGCTAAATAGCCATAATTTTTACTAATCTCTCACTTTTTTTGTACTGTGATAAAATACACATAAAATTTTCCATTTTAACCATTTTAAGTGCATAGTACATTAATTACATTCACATGGTTGTGCAACTATTACTACTATCTCTCTTAAACATATTCTAATTAAACTTTGGAATTCAACTAGATACTAAATAACTAAATATTTCTTCCTATCAGTTTTAGAGAAGAAATACTTATCTGAGATGTATAATCATGAGCTTATCAGAAAATTCTAAATTGCAAAATTATTTATAATTTATGTTGATTAAAATGTTTTTATTCAGCTTGAATTTGACTTACAAAATTTCATGTCCTGATCTGCTGAAATTTAGGAAAATAGAACAGAATATTAAACATCTGAATTTTTTTAAGCTTTCTTCATTTCCTATTCAGAAAATATTTATTGACCACTTCCTGTGTGCTGGCACTGTGATAGGTTTGCACGTCAATGAACAAATCAAACAAAAGAATCCTTGCATTGCATTAACTTTCTAGCAGGGCATTCAGATAATCACAAGAGATATAAGTAGCTTGTCTAGTATATATATTAGAAAGTGATGAGCACTATAGAGAAAAATAAAGAGGTGAGGTGTTGCCCTTTAAACATTATATTAGACATCCTTAGTTACAGCACTGTTTATGCTACTCAGTTTCATTCTTTTTTTTTCAAAATAGTATTTTAAAAAATTTTTATTTTATATTGGAGTATAGTTGATTAACAATGTTGTGTTAGTTTCAGGTGTACAGCAAAGTGATTCAGTTATACATATACATGTATCTACTCTTTTTCAAATTCTTTTCCCATTAGGTTATTACAGGATATTGAGCAGAGTTCCCTGTTCTATCCAGGAGGACCTTGTTGGTTATCTATTTTAAAGATAGCAGTGCTTTGGGAAGTATGGTCATTCTGACAATGTGGATTCTTACAATGCAAGAATATGGTATATCTCTCCATCTGTTTGTGTCATCTTCGATTTCTTTCATCAGTGTCTTATAGTTTTCAGAGTACAAGTCTTCTGCGTCCTTAGGTAGGTTTATTCCTAGGTATTTTATTCTTTTTGATGAGATGGTAAATGAGATTGTTTAATTTCTCTTTCTGATCTTTCATAGTTAGTGTGTAGAAATGCAACAGATTTCTGTGTAATAATTTTGTATCCTGCAACTTTACCGAATTCATTGATGAGCTCTAGTAGTTTTCTGGTGGCATCTTTAGGATTTTCTATGCATAGTATCACATCATCTGCAAACAGTGACAGTTTTACTTCTTCTTTTCCAATTTGCATTCCTTTTTTTTCTTTCTATTCTCTGATTGCCATGGCTAGGACTTCCAAAGCTATGCTGAATAAAAGTGGCACAATTGAAAATCCTTCTCTTGTCCCTGACCTTAGAGGAAATGCTTTTAGCTTTTCACTGTTGGATATAATGTTAGCTTTAGGTTTGTCATATATGGTCTTTATTATGTTGAGGTATGTTCCCTCTATGCACACTTTCTGGAGAGTTATTATCATAAATGGATGTTGAATTTTGTCAAAAGCTTATTCTGCATGTATTGAGGTGATCATATGGTTTTTCTTCTTCAATTTGTTAATACGGTGTATCACACTGATTTGCAGATACTGAAGAATCCTTGCATCCCTGGGATGAATCCCACTTGATCATGGTGTATGATCCTTTTAATGTATTGTTGGATTCAGATTGCTAGTATTTTGTTGAGGATTTTTGCATCTACGTTCATCAGTGCTATATTGGCCTGTAATTTTCATTTTTTGTAGTATCTTTGTCAGGTTTTGGTACCAGGGTGATGATGGCCTCATAGAATGAGTTTGGGAGTGTTCCTTCCTCTGCAATTTTTTGGAACACTTTCAGAAGGATAGGTGTTAGCTCTTCTCTAAATGTTTGATAGAATTCACCTGTGAAGCCATCTGGTCCTGGACTTTTGTTTGTTGGGAGTTTCTTAATCACAGTTTCAATTTCAGTACTCCTGATTGATCTGTTCATATTTTCTATTTCTTCCTGGTTCAGTTTTAGGAGATTGTACCTTTCTAAGAATTTGTCCATTTCTTCCAGGTTTTCCACTTTATTAGCGTATAGTTGTTTGTAGTAGTTTCTTATGATCCTCTGTATTTCTGTGGTGTCTATGTAACTTCTCTTTTTTCATTTCTGATTTTATTGATTTGAGCCCTCTCCCTTTTTTCCTTGATGAGTGTGGCTAAAGGTTTATCAATTTTATTTTTTCAAAGAAGCAGCTTTTTAGTTTCATTGATATTCTGTTGTTTTCTTCATTTCTATTTCATTTATTTCTGCTCTGATCTTTATGATTTCTTTCCTTCTACTAACTTTGGGTTTTTGTTCTTCTTTCTGTAGTTGCTTTAAGCGTAAGGCTAGGTTGTTTATTTGTAATTTTTCTTGTTTCCTGAGGTAAGATTACATTGCTATAAACTTCCCTCTTAGAACTGCTTTTGCTGCATCCATAGGTCTTGGATCATTGTGCTTTCATTTTCATTTGTCTCTGGGTATCTTCTGATTTCCTCTTTGATTTCTTCAGTGATCCATTGGTTGTTTAATAGCATATTTTTTAGCCTTCACATGTTTGTGTTTTTTACGGGTTTTTTTCTTATAGTTGATTTCTAATCTCATATTGTTGTGGTCAGAAAAGATGCTTGATGATTTCAATTTTCTTAAATTTACTGAGGCTCACTTTATGGCCCAGCACATGGCCTGGAGAATGTTCCATGTGCACGTGAGAAGAATATGTATTCTGCTGCTTTGGGATGGAATGCTCTATAAATCTCAATTAAGTCCATCTGGTCTAATGTGTCATTTAAAGTGTGTTTCCTTACTGATTTTTTGTCTGGATGATCTGTCCGTTGATGAAAATGGGGTGTTAAAATCCCTATTATTGGTTACTGTCGATTTCTCCTTATATGGCTGTTAGTATTTGCCCTATATATTGAGGCACCTATATTGGGTTCTTATATATTTACAATTGTTGTATCTTCTTCTTGAATTGATCCCTTGATCATTATGTGGTGGCCCTTCTTTGTCTCTTGTAACAGTCTTTATTCTAAAGCCTATTTTTCGGATATGAGTATTGCTACTCCAGCTTTCTTTTGATTTCCATTTGCATGGAACGCCTTTTTGCATCCCCTCACTTTCAGTCTGTATGTGTCCCTAGATCTGAAGTGCATCTCTTGTAGACAGAATATATATAGGGGTTTTTTGTTTGTTTGTTTTTTGCGGTACGCGAGCCTCTCACTGTTGTGGCCTCTCCCACAAGGAGAATGGCCTATCTCTGCTTGTGGCCTATCTCTGCTTCACTTAGTTGTTCTTCTGGGGTTTCATCTTGTTCCTTCATCTGGGAAATACTCCTCTGCCACCTCATTTCCACAGGCTGCAGGATTGTAGTTCTTGCTTCTGCTGTCTGCCCTCTGGTAGATGAGGCTAAGGGACTTGTGCAGGCTTCCTGGTGGGAGGGACTGGTTCCTGCCCAATGGTGGGTGAAGCTAAGTCTTGTCCTTCTGGTGGGCAGGGCCATGCTCAGGAAGACTTTAAGCAGTCTGTCTGCTGATGGGTGGTGCTGTATTGGTTGTTTGGCCTGAGGCATCCCACCACTGGAGCCTATAGGCAGTTGGGTGGGTCTAGGTCTTGGGGAGGAAATGGCAGCCTCCAGGAAAGCTCACACCAGTGAGTACTCCTGAGAACTACTGCTGCCAGTGTCTTTGTCCCCCACAGTGAGCCACAGCCTCCCCCCTGCCTCTGCAGGAGACCCTCCAATACTGGCAGGTAGGTCTGGCCCAGTCTTTTATGAGTTCATTCCTTTTTTTTCCCCTGGGTCCTGGTGTGCATGAGACCCTGTGTGTATCCTCCAAGAGTGGAGTTTCTGTTTTCCCCCAGTCCTGTGGAATTCCTGTGATCAAACTCTGCTGTCCTTCAAAGCCAGATTCTCTGGGGGCTCCTCCTCCTGTTGCCAGACCCCCAGGCTGGGAAGCCTCATGTGAGGCTCAGGACTTCCACTCCTATGGGATAACTTCTGTGGTATAATTATTTTCCAGTTTTGTGGGTCACCCACCTGGCAGATATGGGATTTGATTTTATCACAATTGTGCCCCTCCTGCCATCTCATGTGGCTTCTTTATCTTTGGATGTAGGGTATCTTTTTTGGTAGGTTCTGGCTTTTTTTTTTGGTTGATGGTTGTTCAACAGTTAGTTGTGATTTTTGGTGTTTTCCTATGAAGGGGTGAGCTCACGTCCTACTACTCTGCCATCTGCAAAATAGTCCCATTCTTAATATTATATACTGCCCCTTTTATTTCATCTTCTCTCTCTCAAACATTTGTAATATAATAAAAAAATTTCTTTTGGATTTCTTCTTTCTGTGCTTTTCAATTTTTACTAGGGAAATATTGAAGAAATTCCTTCAATTCTTGTTTGTGAAAAGAAAAATGACTATGCCTTCCTGCCCTGACCCAGTTTTTTTGGGTAGCCTTTTGCTGTGGCTCCATATCCACTAGATGCTTGCTTCTCTGTTGTTCATTCTTTTATCTTACATTTGATGAGGTTGTAGTCACCTTTGAGAATCTCATGAGAGTTCTGGATGCCAGTACTTGCCCAGTCACAAGACACCCTGGACGCTAGTTAGGAAAGTGCACCTCTGTCCCAATGCAAGTTGTGTCTCGATGGATTTCTGGTACGTGTAGGCACTTAAAGTTCACTGAATGAATGTGTACTTTAATCCATTGATACAAAAATGGGTTTTAATACACAACTATATATGCCTTTCAGTATTTTCATAAGTATATATTTCTGTGGGATTCTAATAGGGCATTATGTGGGCAAAAGATCTCACTAGTCAAATATTTGGGGAAGAGAAAATAGAAAAAGAAGTCAGATTTTTCTGCTGTAATATTTCTTAGCTTCTTTAATATGCTAATATGTATTGTGACTCTCAAAGAGGGATCTGTAGTACAGAGCATTTCCTGGACTCATGGCCATGGAGACTCCCTTTTTCCTCTGTCCTTTGGGTATAACACTGTAGGAATTACAGATGCATGAATATGTGACACATATATGTGGCACTGAATTGGAAGAGGCAAGTTTGAAATGAGAGTCAATTTGAATAACTAACTTGAAAGACATCTTTGAAGTGGTATGTTAAATGCTTGTTAAAATGAATTTCCATGATCTCCATTTCAGTTGATTTTGTAGCTCTAAGGTCAGTCTATAAATTCAGACATGCTGCTTGTACCAAAGTCATGTTAGAACCTAAATCATAGAAATAAATTCTAATACAAGAAGCATCAACTTTTATGTGCAGAGTATTCTTTAAAAAAAGTGTGCCAGATCTTGCTTCCCTGTGAGATGTTTTGTTTTATTTTTAGAGTGCAAAAGCAGAACTCGAAAGGCTACGGCTCAGTGCAAAGCATGACCAAGAGCCTGGGGATGGCACCTTAAGGGAGAGAGCCTCCATCGTGGCCCAGTGCCTGGAGCACAAGGATGAGAAACTTCGAAATCGAACCAGAAAACATTGGAGTTTCAACTGTCTGGAGGACACAGAGGCTGAGGTCCTTCAAGGGCAACAGAAAGGCCAGAAAGGCCTAAAGACACTGAGGAAGACTGAGGACAGGAATGGCAAAGCTACTGTGGACTCTAATAATAAGTTACCACCAAAGGTCATCGAAGAGCTTAGTGTGGTTCTACAGCGGGCAAGAACCCTTCCAAAAGAGTCACAGCCTGAGTAGATGGTGTAAAAATAAATAAAATGACTTGTCTTGCAAATTATTTTTTTAAATATTGTGTACAATGTATGTGTGCAAACCAGAAACCAAAATATATTTCATGGTTGGTGAGATTTGTCTAGCTATCCTTAACCATTTAAAGAGCATTTTAAACTATGTATGTATATATAAGTGTAAATTCACTGTGTTTTGTTCTGAACAAAGCCTGTACAGTTCAGCTATATTAACCTTGTGTAGGAAGGCATTGGGTTACTTTGAGTGGCCAACCTTTTGAAGTACAGTTGACCCTTGAACAACATGGGCAAGGGTTGGTGTGTTAATCCATGCATAATTTGTAGTCAACCCCCTCCCCTGTATACAAAATTCCTCTGCATTTGTGGACTGAACTAACTGTGGATCATGTAGTGCTGTAGGATTCACTATCAAAAGATGTCCATGTATAAGTGGACCCATGGCGGTTCAAACCCACATTGTTCAAGGGTCAACTGTAGTTGTCTAAGTGGTGTAAATTTGTGAACAGAAATCGCAAACTGTACTGTATTGTATAGAATGCTCTGTATAAATGAAGCCTATGAAATTATATGTAACACATTTTGCACTTTGAGAAACCTTGTATATAAAGTTACCATATGTTTTTAGGTTTACACAGGGCCAACCTTAGGGGAAAAAAAGGAAGTAAGTTGAAAAGGGGGAGGATTTATTTTAGTGGCTGCCTATCAAACCACACTTTAAAAGAGGCAAAGAGGGGGCTTCCCTGGTGGCGCAGTGGTTGAGAATCTGCCTATCGATGCATGGGATACGGGTTCGAACCCTGGTCTGTGAAAATCCCACATGCCATAGAGCAACTGGGCCTGTGAGCCACAACTACTGAGCCTGTGCATCTGGAACCTGTGCTCTGCAACAAGAGAGGCCACAATAGTGAGAGGTCCGCACACCGCGATGAAGAGTGGCCCCCGCTTGCCACAACTGGAGAAAGCCCTCGCACAGAAACGAAGACCCAACACAGCCAAAAGTAAATAAATAAACCAATGAACCGACATTTAAAAAAAAAAAGAGGCAGAGTTAAAAATGTCCTAAAAGTCAAGGAGGTCAGGTTGAGATTCATTCTAGTTCACTGTTGACCAGACCTTGTTCACGAGAAACTGCTTGTTAAGAAAAAAGTCTAGTGACTAAGTATTTCCCAGGATTAGTATTCAGCCACTAAACATGAATAATGGCACTGGCCACTCTTCCTTACAGTGTCAGTGAATCAGCTGCAGTGCAAATCCATTCACTACACTTCAGTTCTTTGCAGGTGGCTGCTGAGAGGAAACTTATACTGCATTGAAGAGATTGTGTGCACAGGACCTGGCATGGATGACACTTGCACTGTTGCTGTGTACAAACAATTTTTGGTTGTTTTTTATTTAGAGTTCCTTACTATCATTTTGGAATGAGCAACATTCATCATCACAGGGTTTTATTGTTGGTTTATTGTTTTTCTTTGCATGTTCATTTCTTATTAGGTAAGACTGAGTCAGAATTTACTGGAAGTGTACAACATATGGCCACCTGGGGGTAGGAGTTAGATCAACAATTGATACTATACTTCTGGGGGCTACCACTTCACTTTTAACCTTGTCTTTTTTTTTTTTTTTTTAATAAAGCAGCAGTCTCCTCCCTGTGCCTGATGAATAATGACAAAGCCCTCTATTTTTGTTTCCACATAAAGAGCACCTACTGAGTTATTTTCCTCACAGACAATACTATCTAGTTATAGGTGACATTAGGGGTAGCACTTTTTGTCAGTTTCTTTAGAATTTTATTAGGTCTGGTGAGTTTTGATCAAAATTATTTTGATCAAAATTATTTTAGGTAGCCAAGCTTCATTCCTAGCTTTATTCCACTTGCACTCAGTGCAAGTGGCATCCATGCAAGGTCCTGTGCACACAGTCTCTTCAATGTAGTGTAAGTTTCCATTTCCTTTTCTCCCTGCTTTTCAGGTGTCTTATCAGAATTTGTATACAGAGGCCCATACTTCAGTCAGTCCAATCATAGTGCAGTATAACACTGTTTAATGCTATGAATTTCTTCATTGAAAAATACTGATCACTTATATATGGTGGTGATAAAATAGTTTACCATGGGGGTGTGATATTTATTCTTTAAATCCACATAGATTGGAATTTTTTTAAAGAGAGAAACTGCTGGTCAGTTTATAGGTGGCACTGCTGGGGAGCCTTCCTTTAAAAAGCAAGAAATCATGGTATTTAGGAAAAAATCTAAAATAAACTATTATTTCTGGTAAATGATATTTATGTTTTATGAAATAAGGAGACATGAAAATTATGTTGGACAATGGGAAAGTATCTTTTTTTTTACCTGCCTTATTTGAATACTTTTGAAACTTGAGCTTAAAATCTAATAACTTGTTTCCCTTCCCTTCCTGTACAATCGTCTCCATTTTTCAAGTGTAAGATAAGGACTAATGATGACCTCTCATATATTTTGAGTAAAAATTAAAATTGTTTTACAAGTCCACTTGAGTGCGACTGGTTTTCAAAATAACCACTTTCAACTTTTCAAAATAGAGAAATCAAATAGATTGCCTTTCCTTTTTGCCTTTTTTTAAAAATCTGAATTTAATATACACTTCAAACTAGCTGTCATTTTTTCAAACATGTCAGTATGAATATTGTTCTTTTTTAAATGATGAATATATGCAGACATGACACAAACCGATTGATGGTACTCTCATTTCTAGAGCCCTAACTAAAGTTAATAAAACTAAGCAAAAGTAATTGAAGCAAAAATATGATGTGCACATAACTATATTAGCTGCTAATTTGCATTTACATTGGATAATTTTTAATCCTAAAATAAACTATATTGTAAAAGGAAATATTTTTGAAAATGCACCAAATTTATTTGGATAGATGGTAGTATCCAGATATTTGCACGTTTTCTTAAACTTTTGATAATCACTCTGGGGAGAAGAAAATGTAAACTTTCACTATCTCAACAAAATTTGCACCAAGACTTTAATATTATCAACAATGTGGATATCCTATTATGTGTACAATCATCACATTTATTTCTAATCATTTGGAAATAGACATCACAGAAATGAATCTTGCAGATAGCTAAAATTTATCTGCTTTACATTTTATAGTTATTATTTTTAACAATTTTTTGTTAAATGTTTTAAATTATTTTGTATATCCTTATCTTCTCTGCCATGGCTACTATATGTTGAATGTAACATTTTTAAAAACTGAGATACCTGTACAGATTTAAGACTTTTTGTGAATTATTAAAGTTCAGAATCTAAACGTCCTCATCCAAGAAGTGGGAATAACACTGATCTTGTAGTATGACTCATATACAGTTGGTCCTTGAACAACACAAGTTTGAACTGTGCCAGTTCACTTATACACGGATTTTTTTCAACAGTAAATACTACAGTACTACATAATCTATGGTTGGTTGATTCCACAGATAGGGAGAACCAACTCTAAGTTACATAAGGATTTTCAACTGGGCAGAGGTCAGTGCCCTTAACCCCCAGATTGTTCAAGGGAAAGAACTGCACAGGTCCACTTATCTGTGGATTTTTTTCAATAAGTATTCAGTTGGCCCTCAGTATCCACACATTCTGCTTTCACAGATTCAGGCAACTGTGACTGAAAACTTAATATGCTATTCATGGTTGGCTGAACCTACAGATATGAACCCATGAGTATGAAGAGCTGACTATGGGACTTGAGCATCCTCAGATTTTGGTATCAGGAGCAGGTCCTGGAACCAATCTCCTGCAGATACTGAGAGATGACTGTATACATATTTTTATATGTATATCACATACCTGACCCATAGTAGAGGTGTAGTAAATGTTATTTATTAATTTATTAGTTTTTCTAGCTGTCATTTGGTCTAAGTTGCTACTTCTTACTACTGTTTTTCAAATTGCTTATTTTTTTATCACCCCTTTAAAAATATGTTATACACTAATAGAACAGATTACCACAGGTGGTAGGATGAATTGTGTTTCCCCAAAACCCATATGCTAAAGCCCTAACCCCTAGTACCCCCAAATTTGAAGTATTTGGAAATAGAGCCTTTAAAGAGGTGATTAAGTCAAAATGAGGTTGTTGGGGTGGGTTCTCATAAATCTGACTGGTGTCCTTATAAGAAGAGGAAATTTGGACACACAACACACAGGGGCAAAACCATGTGAGGACACAACAAGAAGGCGGCCATCTGCAAGCCAAGGAGAAAGGCCTCAGATGAAATCAAACCTGCCAACATCTTGATCTCAGTCTTCTAGCCTCCAAAACAAATTGAGAGAAAATAAATTCCTATTATTTCTGCCACCCAGTCTGGAATTTTGTTAATGGTAGCCCTAGTACACTTTTATATTAATCTGTTAATATAGGTATCAGATGAGCAGAAAGCCCCCTGGTTTTTTCAAGCACTAGTTCTTGCACTCTTGTTATCCCACATCTCAGAATAACTTTGTAATACTACATCAGAGTTACACCTATCATAATGATTAATGGAGGATAAGAGAGCATTTTGAGATGTAACTATTTAGAAGTCAGCTAGCTAAATAACTTTAATACTGAAATAATACAGCACAAACGATTCAAAATTGTTGCCCAGCAAAATTACAGTTTGGGGCTGCTTGTAAGATCCAAGTTCTATGACATGAAGAACCACTATTCCAGAAAAGTGAAGATGCTGATTGCTCCCAAAACTGGATTGATAGAAAATATTGTTAATCCTTTCAAAGAACAACACAGAGAGGTCTTCAGTTAAATAACTGAGCATTCACTAAACTAGGGAGAGACAAAAAGTCATTTCAATCAATCCAGATAAGCCAAACCATGATCCTGAGATCAGATCAACACTAATATTGCTCAGAAAAAAGTGACATATCTCATTGGAGGGAATCTCATCTTCCCCTCCAGCTAATGCTTCATTTGACTTCTGTTTGCAGCAAATCTCTTGGTAAAATTTGTCTCACTTCCTGCCTCCTACTATTTCCCTCCCATTCTTTCTTTAAACCCTCTTCATTCAACATTTTGTTTCCCATTATTCTACCATAACTACTATTCTCAAAGTCAGAACAACCTCATTGCCAATCTAAATGGTCAGTTTTCAATCATCATACTTGACCCATCACTATCTGTAGCAATTTTATACAGTTTGTCTCCCCTCCTTTGTGCAATACATTCTAGGATTGGTCTCCAGGATGCCATTATCTTGTAGTTTTCCTCCTTCACTAGTCAGTCTTCTCTGATCCTCTACTGGATACTCATCCAATCTCATAGCTTTAAATACAGTACATCTTCCAGCTATCCCATCTGTTTAACTACAGTCTGGACCTACTCACTGGGTTCAAGACTGAGTAATTTACATCTCCACTTGAGTGTCCAACTGTCATCTCAAATATACCATATCTAAAGCATCATTAAATGTCTCCTTACCAGACAGACTTCCTCTGAACATCTCATATAAAATGACATCATCACCTTCTATCCCCTTTATCTTATTTTTGTTTACATCATAGGACTTATCACCTGACAGTTTACATATTATTAGTATATGTGTTAATGGTCTAATTAGTTACACCAGAATGTAACTCAGCCAGTGCAGAATCTTAGGTTCACCACTATATTCCCAGTATATAGAGCAGTGCCTATAACATAGCCTATAGTCACTACTGAAGGATATGCTGAATAAATGAAGTCATGGTATAATAAAGTAGCTTGAAGGACAATGATCCCAACAAGAGACAGGAACTGCTCTAGGCTAGTCAGCCTGCCACAATACAAAGATCCATACAACCCTCATGGGGTGGAACCCTAGAGCATATAGCTCTGGCAGAGAGAGAATTGCACTGCTGGCATGCATAGGACTTCTCCTTTAAAATGTCACTCTCCAAGGTCAGGAAACGTACCAGATACATAATCTACCAGATACATAAAAACAAAAAAAACCAAGTTAGGCAAAATGAAATGATAGAGGAACATATTCCAAAGGAAGGAACAAGATAAAACTCCAGAAGAACTAAGTGAAGTGGGTATAGACAATGTACCTGAGAAAGAGTTCAGGGTAGTGATTGAAAAGATGATCAAAGAACAAGGGAGGGGGAACTTGAAGATGGCGGAAGAGTAAGACGCGGAGATCACCTGCCTCCCCACAGATACACCAGAAATACTTCTACACGTGGAACAACTCCTACAGAACACCTACTGAAGGCTGGCAGAAGACTTCAGACCTCCCAAAAGGCAAGAAACTCCCCACGTACCTGGGTAGGGCAAAAGAAAAAACAGAGACAAAAGAATAGGGACGGCACCTGCACCAGTGGGAAGGAGCTGTGAAGGAGGAAAAGTTTCCACACACTAGGAAGCCCCTTCGCGGGCGGAGACTGCGGGAGGCGGAGGGGGAAGCTTCGGAGCCGCGGAGGAGAGCACAGCCACAGGGGTGCGGAGGACAGAGCGGAGAGATTCCTGCACAGAGTATCGGTGCCGACCGGCACTCACCAGCCCGAGAGGCTTGTCTGCTCACCCGCTGGGGCGGGAGGGGCTGTGAGCTGAGGCTGGGGTTTAGGTCGGAGCGCAGGGAGAGGACTGGGGTTGGCGGCTTGAACATAGCCTGAAGGGGTTAGTGCACCACGGCTAGCCGGGAGGGAGTCCGGGGACAAGTATGCACCTGCCGAAGAGGCAAGAGACTTTTTCTTCCCTCTTTGTTTCCTGGTGCACAAGGAGAGGGGTTTAAGAGCGCTGCTTAAAGGAACTCCAGAGACGGGCGCGAGCCGCGGCTAAAAGCGCGGACCCCAGAAACGGGCGCGAGCGGCGGCTAACAGCACGGACCCCAGGGACGGGTGGGAGACGCTAAGGCTGCTGCTGCCGCCACAAAGGGGCCTGTGTGCGAGCACAGGTCACTATCCACACCCCTCTTCCGGGGAGCCTGTGCAGCCCGCCACGGGGAGCCTGGATCGCCAGGTTCCCGGGATCCAGGGACAACTTCCCCGGGAGAACGCACGGCGGGCCTCAGGCTGGTGCAACGTCACGCCGGCCTCTGCCGCCACAGGCTCGCCCCGCACGCAGTGCCCCTCCCTCCCCCCAGCCTCAGTGCGCCAGAGCCCCCGAATCAGCGTCTCCCTTAACCCCGTCCTGTCTGAGCGAAGAACAGACGCCCTCCAGCGACCTACACGCAGAGGCAGGGCCAAATCCAAAGCTGAGCCCCTGTGAGCTGTGAGAACAAAGAAGTGAAAGGGAAATCTCTCCCAGCAGCCTCAGAAACAGCGGATTAAAGCTCCACAATCAACTTGATGTACCTGCATCTGTGGAATACATGAATAGACAACGAATCATCCCAAATTGAGGAGGTGGGCTTCGAGAGCAAGATTTATGATTTTTTCCCCTTTTCCTCTTTTTGTGAATGTGTATGCTTCTGTGTGAGATCTTGTGTGTATAGCTTTGCTTCCACCAATTGTCCTAGGGTTCTATCCGTCCATGTTTTTTTTTTTTAAT